AAGCAAAAAGAATCAAGCCCTCTGAGGTAGAAAACTGGGACTAAAGTAACTCCTCAGGATTTAGGGGGAAGTCTCTCCGTTGGTTTTTCCAAGGAACCAAGGCAAAAGGCCATGTGAAGGAATTAATTTTACCGCAATTCTAAAAACTATCAAATTGGACAGTATCAGTGAATTTCATAGTGTGTAAGTTATACCTCAATAAGGCTGTTAAAATAGTTGCATTCAAAATTTTATGTCTGTAATAATTTACTATAGTATTCTATATTCATTAAAGGATCCCTGGTGGCTGCGATCCTCGTGGTCAGCAGTTCAAAGCCACAACCAGCTCCGAGGGAGAAAGACTGGGCTTTCTACTCCCATAAACAGTTAAAATTTCAGAGACCCACAGTGTTGCTATCAGTGTGTTAGTCTGGGCTGACTAGAGAAACAAAAGAGCAATTGTATATTAAGAAAACATCTCAGCCTAGTCCAGATCAAGTCCATAAGTCCGATATTTGCCCATATATCCGATACTAGTACATAAATTGTTCTTTAGACTCACACAACATATGCAATGATGTTGAATGCAGGAAGACCACAAGAAAGTCTTGTGGATCGAGTGGCCGTGGAACCATCTCAGCACTGGCATGGGTCTCCACATGGCTTCTCCAGGTCCAGGTCTTTGGCTCCATCAGTGTACATCCTTGTGTCTTGTCTACAGGATAATGTAGCAGAGAGAGTGTCTGGTCGCCAGTGAGCTATTAGTCTCTGCCGTGCCTCCAAATGAGGTCATCAAGCTGTGACCTGATTGACAGGCTAGACTCCACCCCTTCTTCAAGTTGACAGTAGATTATGTAATTGCCACATGTGTTAGCACTGACTCGATCGATGGCAGTGAATTTGGGTTTGTAGTCATTAAAATATTATGTACTGTTCTAAGTATGCTTTTTAAAGGAAAGCTAATGTAAAATGATAATAAAAGTAGCTCCAAAAAAACTCTTAAACTCACTGCCACCAGCCAATGCGGACTCCTAGTGAACCTTATTGGACTAGGAAGACCACCCATGTGAGTTTCCGAGACTATAACTGTTTATAGATTGTAACTGTTTTCAGAAGCAGAAAGCTTCCTTTTTCTCCCGTAAAATAGCTAGCATTTTCAAAGTAGTTACTATGTATCAGACAGCTTGCTAATTTTAACAGATTAACACACAGCAGTGCTACAAGGTAGCTATGATGTATAACCCCGACCCCACCCCCATTTTACTGATGAGCAAACAGCCTCGGAGAGATTAAAAATCACTTGACTAGGGTCATGACACAGCTAATGAGGAGACAATTAGGCAAGAATTTGAACAGAAGCAGTCTTAATAACCTCAGTGTTCAAGTGAAGAAATAGGTAGTACATTCTGATGCCTTTCGTTTACTGTGACAGTGTGAAGCATCATAGGGCTGCCACTGTTGCCAGTGTTGTTGAACATTCTACACAGCTGTTTGTGATTAACTCAAAAATCCAACTGAATACTTGGTATTGCCTGGTTGCCATAGAGATTGTACAGCACAAGAAAGAAATACTGCTAATTCATTTTACTTATTTTTCTCTACCCCTCAGCCTCAATTTTAAAGACCCTGAAGCAGTCAGAGCTCTGACTTGTACTCTCCTAAGGGAAGATTTTGGACTTTCTATTGATATTCCACTGGAGAGACTCATCCCGACGGTTCCTTTGAGACTCAACTATATTCATTGGGTAGAAGATCTAATTGGTCACCAGGACTCTGACAAAAGTGCTCTGCGAAGAGGAATTGATATAGGTATATGGATTTTAATTCTTTCTTGATTAAACATACGTTACATAAATTTTGCAATGTCCAAGCTTTGTAATTCCCTGTTGAGTGCTGTTGTGTGAAAGAAACTGACTACAGATAATACTGTTCTCTGCTGCACCGGGCTGTTCTGCCATTGGTTTCTCTTGGAAGGATTGTCTGTGTCACCCAGGGCAAGAGGGAAAGCGAGGTGCCGATGCTCCCAGGACGCCTTGAAGGAAAGCCGCGTTCTTACTTGCCTTTCAGAGCCCAGTGGTGGTGCCTGCCTGAATGGGCGTTATTTTCACTCTGCATTTGGTGATAGTATAATAGTCCCCATGGTGGGATTTTGTGGCGCTGACCACTTAATAAAAGATCATGTAGACTTATTATATACTTTCAGGAATATTTTTGGTGACTGTTTTGGTGAATATTTTTGGTTAGAGGATATTTAAACCAAAATTGAAGGGAAGGAAAAAGCCATCAAGTTAAAGTAAGATATTCTTACTGTAAACATTCACAATTGGAGGACACCGTCCCATATGGTTTGTTTGAGAGAGTAAGTGAGATTCAGAAGAAGATGGAGCCAGGGTAAGTTTTGCAATTTTAAATATATGTTTGTTATAGCAGTTATTTCTCTTTTGATAGTTTTACTTTTATTTTTAAAAGTTGGGTTTAAAAAAAAGTTGGGTTTTTTCTCCCCTTTGACCTTTACTAATTCTTTATAGGAAAGTCTGAAATAAAAGCCCTGTGTCTTTATTTCTAAATACCCTCGTCCTTGCTTACAGGTATGGTTAAGTTCCAAATACCAGATGGTTATGTAAAATTTAGCATTATGTTAAAATAAAAAAATGACCACATAAGATTACATCATCATACAAATGCCAAACAATTGAGAATCATGGTTGGCACATAAACCTGGCACAGCCAGGGTTACCTTTACATTGCACCTCAGTCTTTGTTACTGTCATGTATATGTCTTTAGTGTGCAAAATAGAGTGTAGATTTGTTATTGTCACAAATGTGAAGTACTGGATAATAATATAGTCAGTAACTGATAAATAAGTGTTTAGTATAAACCCCAAACCAAATCAAACTCACTGTTTTTTTGAGTGGACTTCTACTCATAGTGGCCCTTTGTAGAATTTCTGAGGGTGTAGATCTTTACTGAGCAGACAGCCTCATCTTTCTCCCATGGAGCAGCTGGTAGGTTTGAACTACTACCTCTGCTGTCCGTGGTCCGGTGCTTACCCCACAGTGTCACCAGGGCCCCTTTGGTGTATAATATAGTTAATATAAATAATGCTTTCTAGACAGTGAATATTTTCACTTTGACATTTGCATGGATTTTTAGTGAATATTTCATCTTCATCTTACATGACCTTTCAGTAGCATTAGTTGACTACTTCTTTCCCCACCCTGGTAGTGTAGTGGTTAAGCTTTTGGCTGTGATCTGCAAGGTCAGTGGTTCCAAACCAACAACCTCTCTGCGGGAGAAAGAACTTTCTGCTCCCATCAAGAGTGACAGTCTCAGAAACCCAAAGGGGCAGGTCTACCCTGTCCTGTAGGGCCACTGTGAGTCGACAGCAACTTGACGACGCCTGTGAGTTTGGTTTTAAGTTTTATTTTTTGGTTCTTCCCTATTCACGAACTCTCTCTCCTCCTATGGCTTCCACGACACTAGACCCCTCCGATGCTTCTGGTCATTCTTCTCTCCTTTTTAGCGAATTTTCTTGTCTTACCATCAGACATTACAAATCCATACTTGAGACTCAGCTCTTGGCTCATCTCACTCAGTACTCTACCTAGGCAGTTTTATCAACATCTGTGACTGTTTCCTCTCCATACAAAATTATCCTACAAATTTAGATATTCCCACAGCTCATTACTTTTCTTGGTCCCTGCCCATACATGTGAAAAGCATGGGTGTCTCAAAACCTCTCAGTTCTATATCCAAGCTCAAACTCTATTTCTTCTTAATTCTGGTCTTTTGTTTCTTGTTTCAGTGAACCCACCGCTATCCACACGGCTATGTAAGAAACCAGAAGTCTCGGAGTCATCCTCGATACTTCTCCCAATTCTCATTCTATCTGCCACCATTTCCTGTTGATTTTCTCACTTAAATATTTCTTAAATCATTGACTGTCTATCTGTAAAGCCACCATTTTAGTCCAAATCACCAACATCTCTCACCTGGTCTCAGAATAGCTTCTCAATTAGTGTGCTCTTGTCTACTGAGTTGCCCCTCTATTCCCTTCTTACACTGAATCGAAAAGGAATGTATAAAACTCTTAGTTGATCACATCTTTACCACCTTAATGGCTTCTCACTGCTTCTGTGATGAATACTGAAGGTTTTCTGTGGCGAAGCCTTGGCATGGCTGATTAGTATCTTCATGGGCTCATTCTTGCTCCTTTCTAGGCCTCAGTCATATGATTCTCTTCCTTGTTTTGTGCACTTGAATGGTCCTTCTACCTGTAGCTTCCCCACCTGTACCTAGTTACTTATTTATTTTTAGTTGTTAATTCCAACCTTATTTTCTTAGGAAAGTTTTCTCTACTATAACTCAAGTGCCTTGCTAATAAGCTTTCAGAAAACCAAGTTGTTGTTTTTTTATTTCAAGTCATTTATTATATTGTACGGTTATTTGATTAATACCTGTGTTTCTATCGTTCCACATTAAGAAATGTGTTCTCATTGGATTGCCAAATGTAGAGCCCATTTTTGGTTGTTGTTGTTTTTTGTATGTGTTTCGTTGTTGGTTGTGAAGCCTGACAACATCTCTGGCATGTAGTAGATGTCCAGTAATTAGTTGTTGAATATTCTAGTGTAGTATTAAATTAAAAAATTGACGCTGAGGGAGGTGGGGGACCAGCACCCACCGCTAATACTCCTATTGCTACTACTCGGATTCATTAATACTACTTCTGGGTTCAGTAATGCGCAATTGTACGGTTAAGATATATAAGCATTATATTAAAGTCATTGAGAGCATGAGAGATAATACAATAATACAGTCAGGCATGATACATAGCAACATTGCTCACCTCAGCCCAGCTTGGTGGTCCTCGTGGAGGGGGCTTAGCCGTCAGAGAAGAAGCCGCTGCTTCATCCTCCTTAGTCACCTTCTCCAGCCACCCTCGGCCACCCACCTCTTGGGAGCCGCCTCCCTTGAGAAGCAGCTCTCCTTATTTATTGCTAACCACGCATCATATTACTCTAGGGGGATACATCACAGCATCATGCAACACAGAGAGGGGCAATACAATTCATTCTTGAACAGGTTTGACCATTCTGGTGTCTCATACAATAAAGCAGGCAATTACTATCCTGGGAGACATGCAAGCCCCCTGATAGCAGATAACAACCTACGTCATAGAGAGGGGTTATAACATAGGCGATACATCCCCCTAGGAGGGGGATGACCTAGGGGTGAATGTGCAATAGTAAGAGGAGGGAATAGGGGGCATGTGTGGCAAGATAGTAGCCTAAGCTTAGTCATCTTAGAGTGGTCCCAGGCTTGCCTATGGGCACTGCTTCGAGGGAACAATAACAGAAAGGAATGGGCCTTATTTGGGGTGAGTCAGACTATGCAGTCTGGCTGCTCTAGATGGCTGATGTTAAGGAGAATAACCTCTGACCTATTTTCGCTGCCTAGTGAACAATTATTCTCAAGCTAAGTCTGGTATATATTTTGGGGAGACAACTTAAGAGAAATCCTTCTGTTCCCCACATTCTAGGATAATCTTTGACCATTCAAACTTTGGAACACACCTGTATGAGCTAAGCACTATGTAAAAATTAATAGAGTTTAGCAAAGGTCCTACCCACTTAAATTCATGACAAAAGGTAGACTGGTAAATTATAGAATGCTTAAAATGGATGGACTTATTTGGTACTGATTTGATTTTAATTGTGCCCCAGACCCTCTGAAATAACACTTTGGGAATATAGGAGGTTAATGAGTTTTAGCTCTTCACAAAGAGCACTTTCTGAAATCCTGTCCATTCTAAGGAGAATTTTATATAAATCTTTCCTCAGGTGCTGCTAGTTGTTCCAATTCTACGAGTATATACTTTCCATTTTTGTTTATCATTGCAGAGCTTGTTACCCACTTTAAAATGTTACTCAGCTTTCTGAGTATAGTAGGATATTAGACTAAGTCTTTTGACCTTGAGTGTTGAGAGATTTGAGTTGTTTGGGAAGGGAGGTGATGAAGAGTCCTTTGCCTGCATTTATTATTCTAGAAGCACATGATCTCTTGGTGGCTGCAAGAAAGTACATATACAGTACTTTCTCTCTCTCTCTCCCTCCCTCCCTGAAATATAGGGAGGCAGTTATATGAGAATCAAGGACCTGTATATTTGTTCCTGCAAACCTGATAGTGCTACTGAAATGTACTTATTCTGAGTAAGCCCAACCAGAATGGCTTACAGGGAACCAGGATGTCGTCCAGATGAAGACAGGCCTGGAGTGGCTGATACAGTCTATAGCTACTATAGACCTTCAGAAGAAACATTGACTTTCCTTCTCCTGGATATACACTTTAGGATTGTATCAGCCAAACTTGGTCCAATGATCATAAAAGCAAGGTGTGATTAGTGGATAGTTCATTCTAAGCTTTGGGGTTCTATGTGTAAGACCAAACAGAAGTTGTCAAAGAGTGAATTTGACCTGCAGTGTTTGCTTCTGAATAGCTCTGAAATATGGTGGGGCACAACATTGATTTCCACTGTTTTATATATCTTTAGCATATATTTTCCTGTCACTCCTATTCTCTCTCTAATTGTGGGGTTTTTTGTTTTGTTTTTTACTTTTGTTTTCTTTCAAGTGACAATTTATAGAAATTTAAGGAATTAGCTTAATATTATATCCTGTATATTTTTAATTTTATTTTGAATGATGGGCTATATCTTGATCTGTTAAAAAAACTGTTCTGGTATTTTAATACATTCATTTTGTTTAGGAAAGTAGAGTTTGTGTGGAATTTAAAATGGAGACTTCACATAAAATAAATTGAGTTTTGACCATGTTCAGTTAATCAGTCATATTTTCCTTGACTACTAATTATATACCCTTCATTTGACCTAAAACTTACACAAAGAAGAAAGCAAAGTTTCTGTCTTCTCGGAAGTTTGAGTCTGACTCTCAGGAAATGAACAGAGCACCCTGTCCACTGCCGTAAAGCCCATTCTGATTCACAGCTCTCTATAACTCAGAGGAGAACTCTGAGCTCTACAGGGGTCCCAAGGCTATAAGTATTTATCAACTTGTGATTTTGCATATAGATGGATCTCTCTCCTGTGTGGAATTCTGACTTTTCGTTTTTTCCAGGTACCGGGGCATCCTGCATCTATCCCTTACTCGGAGCAACTTTAAATGGCTGGTATTTCCTCGCCACAGAAGTGGATGATATGTGCTTCAACTATGCAAAGAAAAATGTGGAACAGAATAACTTATCTGATCTCATAAAAGGTTGGCTCTAGAATTGAAAACCCTTTTCAATCTTTGTTTAGTAACCTGTCTTTATAAATGTAATACACCTCATTATCATTTATCTTTGCTTTAATATACAAATTTTGGTAAGGATTAATTTAAGAAGAAATTTTAAAATATATATATAATCTAGTTTCGATCTTAAAGGAAGAAAACCCCGTTATTGTTTGATCTGTGCTCTTGAGTTCAGTCCATGGAACGGTAGTGGTTGCCTTCATTGTCGTCAGCTCTCCTCAGTGACCACTAGACACTTTATCTTTGCACCTATCGTTTTTAAGGCTTCTTAGTAGTGTTAAACATCCCGTGTTAAGAGCAGATTCTAACACTCCTAATGAATTTTATTTAGTGTAATACATTATTTTAAATTTTAGCGGCTTTAAGCAATAAATATTATCTCATAGGTTCAGTGGGTCAGAAATCAAAGCATGGTTTAGCTTGCTGGTTCTGATTCAGAATCTCTGTGAGGCTTAGAATCAGATCAGGTAGAGCTGCACTTATCTGAAAACTTGACTGAGGGTAGAGATTTGCTTCCGATTTGACCCTTGGTAGGAAGACTCAACTTATTGCCACAGGAATCTTGCCTCACAGCCTGTGGGCTGACTTGCCCTACAGGAAGTCATCTGAGAGACAAAGCAAGGAGAAAGCCACAGTGCATTCTATGACCGCACCTCACAGTTGACAGCCCGGCACTTCCATCATCTTCTGATTGATCGAAGTGAATCACCAGGTCCAGCCTGCACTCGAGAGGGAAATGAAACGTGCTTTTTGAATGGGGGCGTGTCAGAATTTGTGGACATCTTTTAAAACCACCCCAGCATTAATATTTTTCTCCTAGTGGTAAAAGTACCCCAGAAGACCCTCCTGATGGATGCTCTTAAAGAAGAATGTGAGATAATCTATGATTTTTGCATGTGCAACCCTCCCTTTTTTGCCAACCAATTGGAAGCCAAGGTAAAATGTATTCTCCTTTAAAGTAATTGAACACTTAATCTAAGTTTATTTCGCAGTGATCATAGCAAAGAGAGCTTTTCTTTTGGAAGCCTTATTACATAGGGTGCTTTGGTTTCGAGTACCTGCAAACCTACTTCAGACTGACAACAAAGGGAACGTATGAGCTCCCATAGATGAGAAGTCCAGTGTCCGTATGGACTTCAGGAACAGTAGGATCAAGAAGTTCACAGTATTATTACGTCTACGGTTCTGCTTTTCCAGCTCTC